ATACCTAGGTATGTGTAGAGACGTGTGTAGGTGTGAGTGTATGCAAGTCCACGTCGCTGTGGGCTTGATGCTGGCCCCCCCACCCACCCCCTCGTGTGCCGTGCCGGCCTTCATAGGTGCTCGCTAACAGCACTTGTCCCAAGAGCCGGCAAGTCTACACGGGGGATCTTTGCCTTTGGTGCTGGCCCCTTCGTGTGACGATGATCTCAGCCCGTCCTGGGCCTCCCATCGGCCGACTCTGCGTGCGGAAACATCGCCAGTGGGGGGGGGAGACAAAGGCGGCCGGGCGTGGTGTTGTCCTCAGGACGGCTGCTTGCGTTGTGGCCGAAACGTCGTGAGAATTGTATTTTATTATGTTTTATATTTTTATTATTTTATTTTTTCCCTTCTACGTGACTTTACCGAAAGAACCAAGAAGATGAATCCCTGCAGTCACGAAAGAAGCTTTAAATCGAAACATAAAAATGTTTTATTTTTATTATTTTATTATTTCCCTTCTACGGGACTTTAGCGAAAGAACCAAGAGGATGAATCCCTGCAGTCACGAAAGAAGCTTTAAATCGAAATTTAACTCGACGATGTGCAACATTTTGCCCCGACAGTCTGTGAGAGGGCTACACGGGGGATCTTTGTATGTCCGTATTATATATGGGTCCGTCCATAAATGACGTCACGCGGTTTTGGACGATTTTTTGACCCCCCCTCCCTCTCCCCCCCCCCCTCAAATATGACGTCACAAAGCTCTGCCCCCCCCCCCCAAAAAAAATATAAAACATGCTTCAAATCGCTTTAACCTATTGTCATTGTAGTGCGTATTTAATATGGCGCTGCAACTCTGATGTTGTAGGAGAAAACATTTATTAGAAAGTCTATTTAATTAAGTAGAACGTGTTGTCTATATTTATTTAAAGTTTGCGCATTTTTACGTGACGTCACATTTCTCCCCCCCCCCGCCCCCTCGTCACACATCGTCACAAATGTCTGACCCCTTCCCCCCCCCCCAGGTGCGTGACGTCATTTATGGACGGCCCCAATGTACATCCCTACCAGCAAACCCGGGATCAATTCCCCCCCCCTCCCCCACCGCTCACAGCCGAAATCGGTGACGAAAATGTGATCCGATCGTTGGGCCTCCCTTTGAGTCGACTCAGCCTGAAACGGGTTCCTTGGGGGCCGTCCATAAATGACGTCACGCACCTAGGGTGGGTGGGTGGGGGGGGGGGTCAGACATTTGTGACGATGTGTGACGAGGGGGTGGGGGGGTTGAGAAATGTGACGTCACGTAAAAATGGTCAACTTTAAATGAATATAGACAACACGTTCTACTTAATTAAATAGATTTTGTAATAAATGTTTTCTCCTACAACATCAGAGTTGCATTAAATACGCACTACAATGACAATAGTTTAAAGCGATTTGAAGCACGTGTTTTATTTGGGGGGGGGGGCAGAGCTTTGTGACGTCATATTTGAGGGGGGGGGTCTGACGTTTTGTGACGTCATGTGACGACGAGGGGTGGTGGTGGGGGGGGGTCAAACATCGTCCAAAAACGCGTGACGTCATTTATGGACGGCCTCTTGTTGCGTTGTGTGGCTGTGTGTGTGTGTGTAAACATCAACATAGGATGTGAAAACAACAACAACAACAAAAATAACAACAAAAACAAAAACAACAACAACAAAAACAACAACAACAAAAACAACAACAACAACAAAAACAACAACAACAAAAACAACAACAACAAAAACAACAACAACAACAAAAACAACAACAACAAAAACAACAACAACAAAAACAACAACAACAAATAAAACAACAAAAACAACAACAAAAACAACAAAAACAAAAAAAACAACAAACACAACAACAAAAACAACAACAAAAACAACAACAAAAACAACAAACACAACAACAAAAACAACAACAACAACAAAAAAACAAAAACAACAACAACAAAAACAACAAACAAAAACAACAAAAACAACAACAAAAAAACAACAACAAAAACAACAACAAAAAAAACAACAACAAAAACAACAACAAAAAAGCCTCGGCCGGCCTGCCCCACCAAGACCTTCGTTTGCGCTGACTCGTTTCGCAGCCCTTGCCCGTTGTCTGCGAGAGGCCTACACGGACGTGGGTGGAGGGGGGAGGGAGGAGGGGAGAACCTTTAACTTTGTATATCCGCGTTGCCATGACGCCGCCAATTCGTGTTGAATGGCCGCTTCTGCTGACGCACACGCGCGCTCTCTCTCCCCTGCCCCGAGCTTGACTCGTAAAGAACAAAACCGGATTGGGTTCTATACGGGGCGACTCATCCCTTGAGTTTGTCACCTGCCTCGGAGCGGTGGCGCAGCGGTTAGCGCACAGCCGCGCCCCGAACCCGGTGACCCGAGTTCGATGTCGGCAGCAGTGTCGAGCGAGATGATCAGAGCCGGTCTCGGGACGTCCTCTTGCGTCGACTCAGCCGCAAAAAAACGAACGCCCTACTGAGAGGGCAGCAATATCAGTTGTTGTACGATACTCCTATGCCCCCCCCCCCCTCCCCTCTTCGCCCGCCCGCCCGCCGCGCCTTCACCAACTCGCATTGACCAGCGTGGTGAAGTATGGATCATTGTAGATGTGAAGCTTTCGTGACTGCAAGGATTCATCTTCTTGGGTTTTTTTCGGTAAAGTCACCAGGTAAAAAAAAATTAATAAAATAAAAATAAAATAAAAATCACGACGTTTCGGAGGCAACACAAGCCTCTGTCTTCAGGTGGAACCGTCACAGCCACGCTCGAAACGTCGTGGTTTTTTATTTCATTTTATATTTTACTTTTATTAAATTTTAATTTTTTACCTACCTACGTGACTTTACCGAACAAACCCTGAGAATAAGTATGGATAAACCCGCTCCGAAAAGCCTTGGAGAGGCGCTCATTCAGCAGCGGATGGACACGAACAAGGTGCATGACTCATGCGCGGAGCATACGACCCACCACATTTAAAACAACGAAACGTATCAATTTCGATTTGAAGTTTTCATCATCGCATTGTCGCCTCGACAGACCTGCTTTTCACCTGAGGACGGCTGCTTGCGTTGTGGCCGAAACGTCGTGAGAATTGTTTTATTGTGTTTTATTTTTATTATTTTATTACTTCCCTTCTACGTGATGACTTTACCGAAAGAACCAAGAAGACGAAACGTATTTGATATACATATTAACAAAAAAAGTATAGCAACACCATCACTCGAACGAGTTGGCCATTGGGGCTGCTGTAAGTTGATGGGCTTGTGGCGAGGGTCGTGGTCTTGGTGTCGTGGCGGTGATGTTGTCGATGATGATGATGATGATGGTGGGGATGTTGATGATAGTGATGATGATGATGGGGATGTTGATGATAGTGATGATGATGATGATGCTGATGCTCGCTACGGCAGGGGCGAGGTGAAGGATGAACATTTATCCAGCGGTGGAGGGTCCGTACAGGGGGCAAATCTTCCAGGAAAAAAAAATCTAAATTTGAAAACGAATTTCCTGCCATTTCCTGTATAAAATATTACAAAAACTCACTAACACGTAGGATGGACTTTTTATTTATTTATTACAATAATGTCTAATAGTGTATTGTATTACATTGCCATGTTTTTTCTTTTTTTTACCTTTTCTTGTTTCATTGTATGTCATGGCAGAGATTAGGGATTCATAAAGTACAACCATAACCACAATCACATAAACAGAAATCTATTTTATAGCAATATATTTCGGGGGGGGACGACGACATTTTGAGCATATTTGAATATTGGGGGGGGGAAGAGGGGGGATGTGACCCCCCCCCCAATATTTATGATAATTATTTCGGCCTTGCCGTACAATACTCGAGGCACAACAGCGAGCGAAAGTTGGCACGGGAGTGGGGTCACAATCTGGTGCATCTGCCGGTCATCTCAGTCAGTCGACCCACACGGCACCTGCAGGGTCTGTCCCGTGACCTCCTGGCAAGCAGCGAGCAGTCGACACTTCGCGTGGCCTCGGCGTGCACCTAGCCTGGCACAAGCGCCGTGGGGACTTCACCGGCACTTAGAACCTTATCGAAACTTCGTGACTGTTGCTGTTGTTGTTCTAACCACCGCACAGCAGCGGAGACACGAGGATAAGCCCTTCATCCAGCAGTGGATCGTACACAGAGTAACTAGTCTGTTCAACTCTCCCATCCACACCCCACTCTCTCTCTCTCTCTCTCGCCAGAATCGTCTGAGTGAGTCAGTGGCAACAATCAACTTGGGGGAAGAACACGAAAACGTCTGGGATGAGAGCATGACAGAGAGGTAAGGTGGTGGTGGTGGGAGTGGTGGTGGTGGTGGAGTGGTGGTGGGAGTGGTGGTGGTGGGAATGATGGTGGGGTGGTGGTGGTGGGAATGATGGTGGGGGGGGGGGGAGCCTCAGACCTGGGCGGGGTACGGGTTCCGCACGCCACCCCTGGTATGCGACGTTTAAAATGGGATGGGCCGTCTGGCAACAAACACACACACCACACACACCACACACACACACCACACACCACACACACCACACAGCACACATACACACACACCACACACACACCACACACCACACACCACACACCACACAGACACCACACACACACCACACATACACACCACACACACCACACACACACACACACAGCACACACACACCACACACACACCACACACACCACACACACCACACACACACACCACACACACACCACACACACCACACACACCACACAGCACACACACACCACACACACACCACACACACACCATACACACACCACACACACCACACACACACAGCACACACACACCACACACACACACACCACACACACACCACACACACACACCACACCACACACACCACACATACACACACCACACATACACACACACACCACACACACACACACACCACACACACCACACATACACACACCACACACACCACACACACACCACACACACCACACACACCACACACCACACACACACACCACACACACAGACACACCACACACACACACCACACACACACACCACACACACACCACACATACACACAGCACACACACACACAACACACAGCACACACAGCACACACACAGCACACACACACACAGCACACTCACACAGCACCTCACACACCACACAGCACACACACACAGCACACACACACCACACACACACACACACCACACACACAGCACACACACAGCACACACACACAGCACACACACACAGGACACACACACACACCACACACACAAGAAAAGGGTGCGGGTTAGTCGTGACGCCGAGCAATCATCACTGCCCAGTCACCTCCCACAGGTCTACGCCCAGGTGAGCCCAGGTGCGCACAAGTCTCGCAGGAGGCACACGGGCCGGTGTGCGTGCCTGTGTGGCGTTACCTGTGTGGGTGCTCGCTAACAGCACTTTCCCCAACAGTCTGTTCAGGCTATACGGGGAGGGGGTGGGATCTTTGTCTTTGTGTACCTGTGTGTACCTGTGTGTACCTGTGTGTACCTGTCGACCGGGCGTGGTGTTGCCCATCCACCCCGAGCGTGTCCCGTTCCGGCCTTCATAGGTGCGCGCTAACATCACTCGCCCCGGCAGTCTGTTGTCGGATATACGGGGGAACTTTTTTCTTTGTACCTGTGCGCGTACACACACCTGTACACACACACCTGTACACGCACCTGTACACGCACCTGTACACGCCACGCTGGTGTTGGTGTACGGGGAGCGGTGGCGCAGAGGTTAGCGCTGCGCCACGATCCCATCAGAGACTCCGATTGACGCTCACGACAACCCTCCAGGAGCATCGGCGAAGAGGATCATCCGAGCCGGTCCTGGGGGGCCCTCCCCCCTCCTGGGGTGTCGACTCGCCTTCAGGTGAGTACCTGGCGCGGTGGGGGGAGACAAAGGCGGCCGCGCACGATGCTGGCCACTCCAAACCCCCCTCCCTTCGCTGTCTGCCTTCGGAGGTGCTGCTCGCGAAACAACTGCACTTGGCAGCCTGCTAAACAGGCTATCCGGGCTATCCTTTGTCTTTGGAGTTACAGCAGACGTCGCAACCGGGTACCCGTACCCTACCCGATACCCAGCTACCCGTACCCGGCCGGGTACGGGTACCTGTTTGCGACCCTGGTGCGGCCGGGTACGGGTACGGGTAGGCCGTGAGTCACTGGTGAGTAGCCGTTTGTCACTCATTTCGGGAAGGGTATGGGTAGGGAACGGCTACTCGTACCCGGCCGGGTACGGGTACCCATTTGCGACCCTGGTGCGGCCGGGTACGGGTAAGGAATCAAAACGCGTTTGCGACCTCTGCGTTTCAGGTGTGAGCCACCGCTCCCGACCCCGGGGGCCAGGACACTGGACTTGCGGCGAGACGATTGAGACGATCCAGGCCGCACCGAACGGGGCGTCCGATGAGTCGGGACCAAGACGCGAAGGCATCGTCGCGAGCTCCGGGCCGCCGGTGACGAGGACGCTCGCCTTAGGTGGGCGGCCATCACCGGGCCCTCTGGAGACGACTTGGTTCCTTGCCAGGCACCTGTCGGAGCGAGACGCCTACCTGGCCGAGGCACGCAACGGGGTCAAGGGGGGAGGAGGGGGGAGGAAACACCCCGCGAGACTCGGTGGCGATACGAGCCAAGGCAAGCGAGACGACATCCAGGTGCCCGGCCTACTGAGACAGGCCCTGCAAGGTCATCCGGGCGTCTAGTCCGCAGGGATGGAGGCGCTGCTGGGACCCCCGGGGGGCAGCTTCGTGTCCACGGGTCACCTTGAGGGGCCCCGCACGGCACCGACTCAGGCACCCCCTGAGGGAGCGACTGAGGTACCGGCTGACATGACTCAGCAGCTACCCACTCAGGTGACCACGGAAGTAGTCGCTCCGGTCCCGACTGAGTTACCCCCTTCAGGCGCACGTTCAGGTATCCCGTCATGTACCCCCTGGGGTATTGGCGCAGATATCCCCTCAGCTACCGAGTGATCTATCCCCTCAAGCACCCTCTGGGGTGTTGCCTCAGTCATCCGCTCAGGTCCTGACTCAGATACTCCCTCAGGTAGCCCTCGAGGTACCCCCTCAGGTGCCTCAAGAGATATCTCCCCAGCAACACACTGAGGTACCGACCGAGACATCCCCTCAGATATCATCTCAGGTATCACCTCAGGTGTCCCCGCAGGTATCATCTCAAATGTCCCCTCAGATGTCATCTCAGGTGTCCCCGCAGGTATCACCTCAGATGTCATCTCAGATGTCCCCTCAGATGTCATCTCAGATGTCCCCTCAGATACCATCTCAGGTATCATCTCAAATGTCCCCTCAGATGTCATCTCAAATATCATCTCAGATGTCCCCTCAGATGTCCCCTCAGATATCATCTCAGATGTCATCTCAGATGTCCCCTCAGATGTCCCCTCAGATGTCCACTCAGATGTCCCCTCAGATGTCCACTCAGATGTCCCCTCAGATGTCATCTCAAGTGTCTCCTCAGGTATCATCTCAGATGTCATCTCAGATGTCCCCTCAGATGTCATCTCAGATATCATCTCAGATGTCCCCTCAAGTGTCCCCTCAGATGTCCCCTCAAGTGTCCCCTCAGATGTCATCTCAGATGTCATCTCAGGAATCTCCTCAGATACCATCTCAGGTGTCCCCTCAAGTGTCCCCTGAGATACCATCTCAGGTGTGCCCTCAGTTGTTAACCCCCGAGATGTCGCCCGCGACCCGGGCCCTCAAGTCGGCCCTGAGGAGGTCACCGAATGCGCAAGGGGTCACGGAGAGTAGCAGCAGCAGCGGCGGCGGCGGCGGCAGCAGCAGCGGCAGGAGCGTCGTGTTCGTCATGGAGAGGAATACCGTCAAAATCTTCTCCAAGGAGGAGGAGGAGGACGAAGAGGAGGACAACGAGGTGATGGACGAGGGGAAGCAAACCTCGAAGGTGTCTGGCGACGTCAACGGAGGAGAAGAAGATGATGATATCGACGATGACGTTGACGGCCTGAGTCCCGCGAACCATTATCAGTACCCCCATAAACAGCATCGTCCTCTCAACAACAACAACACCACCACCACCCATCACCGACCTCGTGAACGGCAACGCGGAGAGGAAAGAGCTCGCTAGGTCCAGCGGCGGCGTCGTCGTCGACGGCCGCGGCCTAGCCGAGGCCTCGCGAGCCCCCCTCCTCGCCTGCTCCTCCTCCCCGGCCATGATGCTGCGCCACCGGCCGCGGGGCAGCGTCTTCGCCGAGTCTCCCGCCTCGCGGTTGCGCCGCGCGGCCCCGGCGGGCGGGTTGAGCTCGTCGGCGTCGTGGAACCCGGCGTCTGGCCGGGGGCCGATGTCCGTCATCCCCAGGGTCTCGCCGGCGCGGGACGGTGCGGAGAAGCCTCTACCAGGCCTGGTAGAGGCCCGCGCCGTGGCCGCGGCAACCCTCTGGCACACACGCAGCCCCGTATCCCGTACCCTCCTCCTCCTCGTCTACCCCGAACGGGGGTCTCGGCAAACACGAACACGGCCGCCGCCGCCGCGACCAGCTGTATTGTCATCGCCGCCGACTCACCTGGATGGATTTGTGTCACCTGGACACGCGGCTGACCGTGAGAGACTTGCACCCGGCCACACGGAGACATCCCCGGCACCACTGGACCCTGTAAGTCATAAACTCCACCATTAACCTCCCCTCACCCCTCCGCCCCAATGACCCTAACGCTGCCAAAACCTGACCCCCCTAACCTCAAGCTTAAACCGCCGCCTCGCCCTCAACGTGAGTGCTGACCCTGAACCTTCAAAGCCTCTAGTCCTGACCCTGTAAGTCATAAACTCCACCATTAACCTCCCCTCACCCCTCCACCCCAATGACCCTAACGCTGCCAAAACCTGACCCCCCTAACCTCAAGCTTAAACCGCCGCCTCGCCCTCAACGTGAGTGCTGACCCTGAACCTTCAAAGCCTCTAGTTCCTGACTACTTCCATCTGCATACAAGTCCCCATCGCCCCGTGTGGAACTCGACTTTGAACTCGTGCGAGGACTCCGCACAGATGGACCACCAGAGTGGAGATGGAGCGATGTTTGCCAGTTGTTTGTGTGTGTGTGGGGGGGGGGAGCCTTCATCCAGCAGTGCATCGAGAATGGCTGCTGATGTGGTTTTGTGTTTCGTGGCTGTCGCGACGCGCTACGGACCCGGCGACCAGGAATCCCCTAGGTCGACTCGGCCTCAAATGAGTCACTTGGGGAGACAAAGGCGGCCGGGCGTGGTGCTGGCCCACTCACACCCCCTCGTGTGCCACAGTGCCGGCCTTCATAGGTGCTGCTGCTGCTACTCGCTAAACAGCACTTGGCTCAACATGCCATTACAGGGTGGGAACATTTTGTATATACAGTATACGGTATGCGTAAGTCGTTCTATGAAATGTTCTGCACTTGGGTAGGTGTCACGGGTTTTATTATTATGTACAGAGGGGATGGTATTGGTTGTGGCCATTATGTGCCTGGGTGTTGGTCACGTGGGACGAGGGAGAGTGAGTTGAAATCATCATCATCACCGTGAGATCATCATCATCATCATCACCATAAGATCATCATCACCATAAGATCATCATCACCATGAGATCATCATCACCGTGAGATCATCATCATCACCATAAGATCATCACCCTGAGTTCATCATCGCCATTATAACCCCGTTTAACCCAGAGTCTAAATCAATCATCGTGATTTAAATCACCATCACATCGCGTCATTAACATCACCACCACCATCGTCATCATCGCCACCGCTGCCGCGTTCTGGAGCAGTGTTCACTCATTTTCAGAGGTGGGGGGCGGGGGAGGCATTTCGTCGATTAGAAGACATCATCAGTGTAAGGTTGCCTCCGCCACACGTTTGAAACCTTTGTGGGGGTTTGTGACAGCATCATCATGTTGGGGGGGGGGTGCTTTCACTCACTGTGTATTCATCTTCTTGGTTCTTTCGGTAAAGTCACGTAGAAGAGAAGTAATTATTGTATTATGTTTTATTTTTATTATTTTATTACTTCCCTTCTACGTGACTTTACCGAAAGAACCAAGAAGATGAATCCCTGCAGTCACGAAAGCTTTAAATCGAAATTCACTGTGTATTGTCGGGGGCCGGACTAAAGACCAACAGCGGGCACCATTGGACCCCGCGGGTCTTGCAATGAATAACATTTTTATATCATCATCGATAACCCTCGTCTCCATCATGATCATCATCTAAATCACCACCACCATCATCATCATCGTTGAAATCATTATCATCCGAACCCCATGTCGCCATCATCATCATCATCTACGCACCTTAATCATCACCACTGCCTTCATCATCAGCATTATCTACTTTTGAAAATCACCATCATCACCCTAAGTCACCATCACCTATAATATCAAATGTATCATCACCACCACCATCATCATCATCTACACATCCGGATCACAATACATTTCCATCATTTACACATCTTAATCATCATCACCACCGCCATCACCATTACCTACATATGAAAAACACATTCCTGCTGCGGAGGGAGCTGGTAGGAATGTTGGGTTGCTCGGTCAATGGCCTGCAGGGTCAACGGCGGCGTGGTGTATTCCACAAATATGCCCGACTGTGAGGGCGGGCACAAGCCGGCGTGAGTAGGTGAAACGTTGAGTTTTATACGGGCACCACGGGGTGACCAGCCCCTCCCCACCCAGCCCCACCCCCCACCCAGCCCCACCCTCCCCACCCAGCCCCTCCCTCCCCACCCAGCCCCTCCCCACCCTCTCTCCCCACCCAGCCCCTCCCTCCCCACCCAGCCCCTCCCTTAACGACGGACGGACGGACACAATAATCCCCTGTGGGCTGGTGTAACCAGGAGGTTCCTACCAGTATCACCATAATCACCCTAAATTGTCATCACTTTAATCACCTACACATCAAATCACCGCCATATACATACAGTGTCTACATCAACATCATTACCGTCATTATCTAAGCCACCACCACCACCACCATCCCGCATTCCTGCGCCTCCTTGCGACCGAGTCAGCAACAGCCTCGACTCGTAGACGGTTCTTATTGCAGATACTCCTCCACTTACGAACTAGTTAGGTTCCAGAGGTTCGTAAGTCGATCTCTGTTCGTAAGTCGATCTCTGTTCGTAAGTCAACTTGACTCCTGTCGATTACAAACGCGTTGTGCGGCGTGTACACTAAACACGGGGAAATGGCTTTTAAAAGTTGCACAATCTCCTGCAGACGCCACTGGTTCTTCACGTTCTGCAGATGCAGATTCCACCACCCTCGTTCGTTACGCTCGATCCGAAAAACATCTCGACATAGGCACAGGTTTGTTCGTATCTCTGAAAGTTCGTGAGCCATATGGTCGTAAGTAGAGGAGTACCTGTATTATAGAATTGCTGGGGCACAAGCCACCCCCCCCCCCGCCACCAAACGGCCAGCAACACGCAGCACTATGATTTGTAATATATGGGAGCGAATTCGTTTCTTGAATTGGCACGTCGCGATTCGATTAATCGTTGCGATTCGAGGTTTGCGGTTTGATTTCGGAATTGTTTGATTCGTGACCGTCCAATCGCGATTTCTCTCCCCTTCCCCCCGTGTCTCCCCCTCCTCCCCATGTCTCCAAAATCTCCCCATGTCTCCAAAATCTCCCCATGTCTCCAAAATCTCCCCATGTCTCCAAAATCTCCCCATGTCTCCAAAATCTCCCCATGTCTCCAAAATCTCCCCGTGTCTCCCTCCTCCTCCCCATGTCTCCAAAATCTCCCCGTGTCTCCCTCCTCCTCCCCATGTCTCCAAAATCTCCCCATGTCTCCAAAATCTCCCCATGTCTCCAAAATCTCCCCATGTCTCCAAAATCTCCCCGTGTCTCCCTCCTCCTCCCCATGTCTTCAAAATCTCCCCGTGTCTCCAAAATCTCCCCATGTCACCAAAATCTCCCCATGTCACCAAAATCTCCCCATGTCTCCAAAATCTCCCCATGTCTCCAAAATCTCCCCATGTCTCCAAAATCTCCCCATGTCTCCAAAATCTCCCCATGTCTCCAAAATCTCCCCGTGTCTCCAAAATCTCCCATGTCTCCAAAATCTCCCCGTGTCTCCAAAATCTCCCCATGTCTCCAAAATCTCCCCATGTCTCCAAAATCTCCCCATGTCTCCAAAATCTCCCATGTCTCCAAAATCTCCCCATGTCTCCAAAATCTCCCATGTCTCCAAAATCTCCCCGTGTCTCCAAAATCTCCCCATGTCTCCAAAATCTCCCCATGTCTCCAAAATCTCCCCATGTCTCCAAAATCTCCCCATGTCTCCAAAATCTCCCATGTCTCCAAAATCTCCCCATGTCTACAAAATCTCCCCATGTCTCCAAAATCTCCCATGTCTCCAAAATCTCCCCGTGTCTCCAAAATCTCCCCATGTCTCCAAAATCTCCCCATGTCTCCAAAATCTCCCCATGTCTACAAAATCTCCCCGTGTCTCCAAAATCTCCCCATGTCTCCAAAATCTCCCCATGTCTCCCCCCTCCTCCCCATGTCTCCAAAATCTCCCATGTCTCCAAAATCTCCCCATGTCTCCAAAATCTCCCCATGTCTCCCCCCTCCTCCCCGTGTCTCCAAAATCTCCCATGTCTCCAAAATCTCCCCATGTCTCCAAAATCTCCCCATGTCTCCAAAATCTCCCATGTCTCCAAAATCTCCCCGTGTCTCCAAAATCTCCCCATGTCTCCAAAATCTCCCCGTGTCTCCAAAATCTCCCATGTCTCCAAAATCTCCCCATGTCTCCAAAATCTCCCCATGTCTACAAAATCTCCCCGTGTCTCCAAAATCTCCCCATGTCTCCAAAATCTTCCCATGTCTCCAAAATCTCCCCGTGTCACCAAAATCTCCCCATGTCTACAAAATCTCCCCGTGTCACCAAAATCTCCCCATGTCTCCAAAATCTCCCCATGTCTACAAAATCTCCCCGTGTCACCAAAATCTCCCCGTGTCTCCAAAATCTTCCCATGTCTCCAAAATCTCCCCATGTCTCCAAAATCTCCCCATGTCTCCAAAATCTCCCCATGTCTCCAAAATCTCCCCGTGTCTCCAAAATCTTCCCATGTCTCCAAAATCTCCCCATGTCTCCAAAATCTCCCCATGTCTCCAAAATCTCCCCGTGTCTCCAACATCTCCTCATGTCTCCAAAATCTCCCCATGTCTCAAATCTCCCCATGTCTCCCCCCTCATCCCCATGTCTCCAACATCTCCCCATGTCTCCAACATCTCCCCGTGTCTCCAAAATCTCCCCATGTCTCCAAAATCTTCCCATGTCTCCCCCCTCCTCCCTACATCTTTCTCCCCATCTCCTCCCCATGTCCCGCTGTGATCTTGTACTTTGTATCGCTCAGTATCTTCTGCTGGAGACCGTGGACGCAGTCGGTTCGATGTCTATCATCATCGGGGCCTCGCCTCGTCGCGTGATATTTGCGGGACGATGCCCATGCTGCTGGTTTCTTGGTGAGCCAAGTCGCTCTCGTGCAAATGAACCTCCACCCCGGCATCTTGATTTCTCACCTGGTCTAGACAAGAACACATTGTCCTGCTGCGGAGGGAGCTGGTAGGAACGTTGGGTTGCTCGGTCAATGGCCTGCAGGGTCAACGGCCAGAGCGTGGTGTATTCCGCAAATATGCCCGACTGTGAGGGCGGGCACAAGCCGGCGTGAGTAGGTGAAACGTTGAGTTTTATAAGGGCACCACGGGGTGACCAGCCCCTCCCCACCCAGCCACACCCCTCCCACCTCCCACCCAGCCTATCCCTGCCCCACCCTTTCCACCCAGCCCCTCCCCACCCAAAACCCTCCCCACCCTCCCCTCCCCACCCAGCCCCACCCTCCCCACCCAGCCCCTCCCCACCCTCCCCTCTCCACCCAGCCCCTCCCCTCCCATTTTTGGATGCACGGCGGACGGACGGACGGACGGACACAATAATCCCCTGTGGGCTGGTGTAACCAGGAGGTTCCTACCAGTATAACAACTCCTCTATCATTTTTCATTGCTGAAGGGGGTTGCCCCCCGCCCCTCCTCGTCTGCGTACGGTGCGAAAAAAATGCAACACAATTACATACATACCGCGAGAGGACAGATGGTATACGCATATGCTAAGTGATGCTGTATTTTAGTACCCTGTATTAAGTGATCCTGTAATCGGTCGTACGAACAGGTGTAGGGCGATGTAAGTCGAGATGGATGTGGTGATGTGGCCAAAATAAATCGTGGACTGTTTCGGACTGAAGCGCTGTGTACACGGGATCACGCAACTCTGTATATTAAAGGTGTGTCTAATGGTGAGTGTAAGAAACCATTATGATCTATCACAACATTGCGAAGTGCCTAACAACACCGTCACAACACAATAACAGCTGCTCTACACACACACAAAGATCCCCCGTGTAGCCTTAACAGACTGTTGGGGCAAGTGCTGTTAGCGAGCAGCACCTGTGAAGGCCGGCACGACACACACGTGCACACACACACACACGTACACACACACACACGTACACACACACACGTGCACACACACACACGTGCACACACACACACGTGCACACACACACGTGCACACACATACACGTGCACACACACGTGCACACACACGTGCACACACACACACGCACACACACACACGTGCACACACATGCACACACATACACACACCCACACATACATACACATACACGTGCACACACACACGTGCACACACACACACACGTGCACACACACACGTGCACACACATACACATACATACACATACACGTGCACACACACATAAAGATCCCCCGTATAACCTTAACAGACTGTAGGGGCAAGTGCTGTTAGCGAGCACCTATGAAGGCAGGAACGTCACACGAGGGGGTGGGTGGCCAGCACCACGCCCGGCAGCCTTTGTCTCCTCACTCGCGATGTCCTTACGCACCGCACCAGGTACTCATTTGAGGTTGAGTCGACCTAGGGAAACCCCAGGACCGGTTCAGACAATCGCCACGGGTGTTGACCATGAGCGGGAATCGAACCCGGGTCGCCAGGTTCGTATACGCAGCGCGCTAACCGCTGCGCCACCGCTCCCCCTACACACGCACATGCATCCATACACACATTCACAATGACACACACTCTGGCACGCACTCACACACACATCCCTACCACAGGACGCCACTTACGAACTATGATTAACATTGCGTGGGTTGAATGACACACCTAATCGCGTACAGGTAAATACACACACACCCCATGCACTTGCACACACACACACCTCACACACACACACCTCACACACACACACCTCACACACACACACACACCTCACACACACACACCTCACACACACACCTCACACACACACACACACCTCACACACACACACACCACACACCTCACACACACACCTCACACACACCTCACACACACACACCCCACACACACACACACCACACACCTCACACACACCCCACACACACACCTCACACACACACACCCCACACACACACACACCTCACACACACACACCTCACACACACACACCTCACACACACACCTCACACACACACACACCTCACACACACCCCACACACACACACCTCACACACACACCTCACACACAAACACCTCACGCACACAACTCACACACATACCTCACACACACACACACCCGTGACACGAAACCACA